GAGTATATACATGTGAGAGAGCAAATGAGAGAGAGAAGCAACCTTCACAGGGTCTCATAATTGTGATCCCCTTTCCTCAGCCCTCTATCTAGCTCTTCAGGATTTAGGACGTGTGTTGCACACACCTAGCATGTTTACTGGCCGATTTGTGGATCTAATCCTGTGGTTGCTCCTATGGCTTCCAGTACTGCAATTCAGTTTGCTATCAACCAAATCTCAGGTTGGGCCAAAATTTTGAGATTTTTAACCCTAAGTAATGTTTCTATTTTCCTTTATTATTTTCAACTTATGGTTGACCAAAAAAAAAGAAGCTAAAAAGAAAAAGAAGACTTTTGCAATATTAATCAATGTTTTATCATAGTAAGGAAAGATGTTATTTTATAATATGAACAGAAAATCTCTCTATTCAAAGAAATATGTCTTTAAGAACAGTTAGCAGGGGAGAAACAGATACAAACACATGTATTTAAATATATATTAGGTTGTTGGGAAAATCATGATGTATTTTTCTGTTTTTCTATGCAAAAATATATCATGACTTTCCCAAAGACCCGTTATAAGTGAATGCCTGGACCGTCAGAGAGTAAAAGTACATAAAATCTTTGTAGTTTAACTTTTTAGCTGTTCTTTGGCTGTCTTATTCAGTGCTCCCTATTCAGGGACTTGTCTTCTTCCTTTGGGATGTTTTCTGCCAGCCGATGACAAGGATGCTGTTCCAAAATGAAATTTGGAACCCAATTTTAAATTGAATCTCACCCTCCAGAGTAAACAATAGATGGAAGCTGCCTATTAAATCATCAACTTTTAATTAAATCCTTTGCAGCTGTAAGATTCCCCATACTCAACAAGGTGATAAATGCATTGTATTTTAATTTAGTTATTTTTTTGTACTAAATTCACTGTAAAAAGAGGGTATTATAGGTTAAGCATCCCTTATCCAAAATGCTTCAGATCAGAATATTTTAGACTTTAGGCGGCTTTTGCATTTTGGAATATTTGCATATACATAAGGAGATATCTTTAGGATAGGACGCAAATCTAAAGACAAACTTCATTTATGTTTCAGTCCACCTTATACACATAGCCGGAAGGTAATCTTATGTAATATTTTGGTATTAAACTATTTTGACTATAACTAATTACATGAGGTCAGGATTGGAATTTTCTGTTTATGAAATCATGTTGGCATTCAATTTTTTTTAAATTTTGGTTCATTCTGAATTTTTAATTTTCATTAGGGCTGTTCTACCTGTACTAATGGATGATAGTAATTATATGTTCATATCATGGAAGATGGAAAACTTAAAATGGATACTGAAATAGAATATCAAAAATAACTACTTGGATGAAAAATTTTAATAGTTGTTCAAAAGCAGATTAGAAATGAAGAAAACTGCAACATAAGGCAAAATACATATTTTGAACCTTCGCAAATGTTTCTCTACAGGAATACATGCCTTGTATGTGTATGCATGCCCAGGATCCTGATAGGTTAGACAAATGGAGGAAAAAGGAAAAGATATAACCAGATCCCATTAAAGGCTGGTGTTTTCTCTCTTTCATGCATGTGCGTGCACATGCCTTCCAGCATTAAAAATAATAATACAGAAGTAATTTGTCCCTGGGGGCTGGGCTGTGGTGTAGCTCTTCAAGGCCAATTTACACGAGAAGGTTCCAGATTTGTATTCTGGAGACCTTCCTAAGTATGCCGGCTGTGCACAGACATGCACATAACTCATGGCTGGGTGAGGCTGAGGAACACTGCCCAGGGTGCTCTCTCTCTCTCTCTGTTTCTGTGTCTTGCTCATGAAGAAAAAAATAAAATGAAACAAAAAAGGAAATGCCTTCCTATTGTAAATACAGTCTTCAGGCATATCACCATATGAACTCCATGTCATGTGCTTCCCATATTTATTAATTTTGCCTTTGCTTTCTGATGGCTTCTCTTAGCCTACCATTTTGCTTTTTTTTTTTTTGAGAGGTTTTCACTATAGGGCGCGTGCGCTCGCCAGACAGAGAGAGACATAGAGACAGAAAGCGAGAAATCACCCCCCAGAGGGGATGGTCACGCCGCAATCCCTTCTCCTCCATTCTCCTCTCGGGATCTTAGACATGCACGCACACGCGCCCAGCATGAGTTTTAAGCCACCAGGTCCAGGACGCAAACCGCAGTCGACTACGTGGGAGTCCAGCGACATAGCCATTATGCTAACTGCTGGTTCCCTGCATTTTGGGTTTTAAATAAGAGCTTAAATATAACAAAATAACAACAACAACAAAAAAAGATAAAAAAAGAAAAGAAAGAAATATAAATGTCAGCCTCGACAAGTACATGAGCCAGGTAAGCATTCTCATATCACTCCATGGCTTTTTTATTTTTCCAGAGACAATGAATTCTACAATATGATTATTAGTTTTTGCTCACAAATCCAAACTGCAGAAGCCATTTACAATAAATATGTCCTCTGAGTGCTTATTGGTATGGAAAAGCAAAAGCCTAGAAAGCCATTTTGTCACATGATCAATCCCAGTGATCTTAGTAGAGATCAGTCATGAGACTTCCTTGATTGAAAGCTGAAGCAGGAGTTAGACTTTGATATATTTATTGCAGCAGTTTTTTTCATTTGCTTATTCATTCAGCAAATATTTACAAGGCAATCCTATGTGTCTGGCACTATTCTAGGAGCTTGAGATATGTCAGTGAACACGAACAAGTTTCTGACTCTGAGGACCTTCTATTATACCAGAGAGGCAGATAACAAATAGTAAATGTAGTGACTAAATATAAATTTTAAATATCTTAGAAGGTGATACGGTATGAGGGGAAAAAAGAAAGGGAAGGCAGTGTTAGGAGATTAATAGTGGTGGAGTACAAATTGCAAATATTTAATAGGTGATTAGAGTAAGACTCATGGAGAATGAAAGGTTGAGTCAAGGCAGAAAGAGGAAGAGTTAGTCAAGCCAATATCTGAGTAGAGAACATTCCAGAAAACAGAAGAGTTACAGCAACAGTCCTACAGTGGGATGTTTCTAAGCACTACAGAATCAGTAGGGAGGTCAGTGTGGCTAAAACAAAGTGAGAGAAGAGTAGAGCCAGAGAAGGTTAGAAAGGTAGGTATCTGAGGACCTGGTCAAATAATGCTCTTATTTTTGAGAGAGAGAGATTTTTGGTATTCGGTGCACGCACTCATTGGTGAGACAGAGATAGAAAGTAAGAAATCACTCCCCAGAGAGGATGGCTATGCTGCAATCCCTTCTTTTCCATTCTCTTGTAATTTTGGCATGCACACACATGCACCCAGGGTGAGTTTGAAGCCTTCAGGTCTAGGACTGTAAGTGTGGTCGACTATGTGGGAGACCAGCAACCTAACCATTATACCATCTGCCAGTCCTGGTCAAATAATGCTTTGACCATTGAAAAGGCTTTGACTTTGATACCAGATTAAATGGCATGACAGGTTTTGAGCAGAGGAGGAATATGACATGGCTTAGAAACGTGTCTCTGGTGACTGCACTGAGAATAGACAACAGAGATACAAGAGTTGAATTATGGAAACTTAAGTTCACTGAAATAAATTTTAACAACTTCCTTTAAAGCAACATTACCACTTCTGTTAAAGCCTAAAGTGATTCTATTCTGTCAACTAATTTTTAAAAAGATTATATATAGCTGTCAACGGTGCAGAAGACCCTGTCCCTTTCCTAAAATCTGGGGTGGCAGTATACATACAAATGAAAAGTATAGAAGATGGTGTGACTTCAAGAAAGAATAAAGTGGGACTGATTATACAAATGGTCAATTCCAAGATCCCAAGATGTTCTTTTCTTTTTTTTTTTTTTTGGAGAAGTTTTCACTATAGGGCACATGCGCTCGCCAGACAGACAGAGAGAGACAGAGACAGAAAGCAAGAAATCACCCCCAGGGGGGATGGTCATGCCGCAATCCCTTCTCCTCCATTCTCCTCTTGGGATCTTGGGCACACGGGCACGCATGCACATGCGCCCGGCGTGAGTTTTAAGCCACCAGGTCTGGGATGCGAACCACGGTCGACTACGTGGGAGTCCAGCAACATAGCCATTATGCTAACTGCTGGTTCCCTAGATCCCAAGATGTTCTTAAACAAGAATTAGGAGTTAAAGTTTTCAAGGTGTTACAATAGTTCCTTATAAGCGCTGTCCCAAAGATGATTCTGCCAATAGAACATCTTTTACCTTTTCCAAATTATCCTCCCTAGCACATGGTACTTGTTTGTAAGCTTTGTGGTTTCCTCACAATGCAGGGAACTTCCAGAGTGAAATTTAACATGTATTCCAGGGTTGGCAGGTGGTATGGTAGTTAAGGTGTTGAACTCACACATGGCTGACTGCAGTTTGAGTCCCAGACCTAGTGACTCGCTTTCTCATTTTCTTTCTCTGATCAAATTTTTAAAAATTAAATAAATAAAATTAATTCTTTTTTAAAAGAATTATTTTATATAACTTCATTTATTTTAATTTGAGCAGAAAGGAACAGTGAGCAAGCGAGAGAGAGAGGAGAGAAAGCAAGCCGCCACCAGGTCCAGGACTTGAACCACTGTCGGCCATATGGGAGTCCAGCACCCTTAACCACCATGCAACCTGGCAGCCCCTAAAATAATTCTTAAAATATAAAGAAAAAGAATTAACATGTACTCCAAGTTCATTGGTTTCAGTTCTACTCTGTAGAGCCCTAATATTTTATTTTTTTTAAGTTTAGTGACTAAGCTTATTAATACCTCATGGCATTATAAAACAACAGTTTTTCATTTCTCAAAACCACCCAGGGGAAATTGGAAATTGGATGTACTTTTTAATTCTCATTGTAGTTCAAATCTAAATCCTCTTTTCTCCTAGCTTCTGTACTGGGAGTTAATGATCTTGGTCAAAGAGAAGTACTCTATCTCTGAATTCCTCTTTCCTGACTAAACTGAGAGGGTAAGAATTCAAAGGAGGTCACTGCAAACTACCTTGTTCTACCGTTTCATATTTAATAAGTGTACAGTCAGAAGGAATGCCCCCAGCAGACCCATTCATTTATATCCTTGATGCTTGACTGTATTTTTTTTCCTTTGTCATTGAACCTCTTCCCATCTTTAGTCCCGAATTTACTAAGGTGATCGATCATCAATGCTGGGCTGATCCTGGAAAGAGCCAATCTGTTGTATATAAACCACAATTAAACCATATTTATTGGGAATATGATCTTGCACAGGATATACCCACTGTGTTTTTGTCCCATGTAGTGGAGATTTCTGTCGCATTTTATGCCATGACAGCTTTGAATTGTCCTAGAAGAAAAGAACTAAATGAATCAACAAGTACAAAGTCCTTTAAGCAGACACATAATGAAGAGCTTTGAAATGCCCAGGCATAAAGCACCATAACAGTGGTAACCATTATTATGTTACTAATAAATGACTTTTCCACTTTCTTTCTTGTGTCATTTTTCTTCCTCAGATCCCCCCTTCTTTTGAATTTAATTTTTAAATGAACATGAATGTCAGTTATACATTTGATTTTTACAAAGGGGAAACTAGAGTGTGCAACTTCTAAGAATCGACTGCATTTTAGAAAAGACACATAATACTGCACTTTCTTTCCTGATCATAGTGCTGTATTTTCTTCTCAACTTTATCTTAGGTTATTAGGGTGTGTGTGCATGTGTGTGCACGCGCGTGTGTGTATAAAGTTTATGTATTTCTTCTTCTGAGAGAGCAAGCCACAGGAATCCCCAAAAGTGTCTTCAAGTTCTGATCCACTCCCAGCACCAGCCAGCCTGTATGGCAGGCATGTGTGCACCCAGAGTGTGCAGGGAGATAGGATATGAACCCATGACTTTTCCATGTGTGCAGTTGCAATACCATGTGCCACTTACCTGGTCTGATACCTAGAGCAATTTGAATTTTCTCTCAAAGAGTTTGAAGATATATTTGTCTGAAATACATAAACTGTAGTCAAATACTAGTATTTTTGTGATGCTCAGCATTTTTATATAAATCTATATTGCAAATAGAAATAAAAAGATGTGTTGAAAAGTGAAGAGGATAACTTTCCAAATGATTTTAATTCACTTCAAAATAATTAAAACTATGTCAGGAAGTCTATTTTTTTAAAAATTTAATCCTTCTCCCCCTTTTTAAAGTTTTTGCTGTAGGGCATGTGTGCTTGCCAGAGAGACAGTGAGAGGGAAAGTGTGGAATCACCTTCTGTGAGGATGGCCATGCAGCAAGCTCTTCTTCTCCATTCTCCTCCTGGGATTTTGGGCACACATGCATAAACACTTGACATAATTTTCAAGTCACCAGGTTTGGGACTTGAACTACAGTCAACCATGTGAGTGTCCAGTGCCTTAACCGCCATGCTACATGGCAACCACTAATTTTCCTCCTTTTTATTTCTATTCCGTCACTGTGTAATCTCTGTAATGCAATGTGGCTTTCCAACATATGCAGGTAATACATGACAGTCAAATCAAGCATATTACCGTAAACATTGTTTTCAAAGGTACTTTCACATTCTTTTTACTGTTAAGCGTTTCAATCCTTCGTCCCTCCTGCTCACCTTCTGCTATCTACTCCCTTCCTGAACAGTCTAGTATCTACACTTAACCTCCCTAGTATCATATCTTCAGATCTTCCAATTTCTGCCACAGAGTACAGACATTTGGTATATACTGAGTGGGGATGTGTACAGTGTGTGTCTTTTAGAGTCTGATTTACTTCATTTAGCATCAAGTCTCCTATATTCATCTACTTTGAATCAAATGATAGGGTCTCATTGCTCCTTATGGCTGAGTAATATTCTACAGTTTATATTGGGTCGTCAGAAAAGTCTTGACTTTTCCAGTGACCTAATAAGTGCCACAGCTTTTCAATCTAGTAATCAGTTCTTGGACACTTAGGTTGATTCCACATATTAGCAATTCTGAATAATGCTACAATAAAAGTAGACATGCATATGGCTGAGTAGTTTCTTATCCTTTGGGTAAATACCAAGGAATAAATTAACTAGGTTGCATGGTAGTTCTGTTTGTAGGTTTTTGATGAATCTCCACATTTATTTTCCACAGTGATTATACTAATTTACATTCCTACCAACAGTATTGGAAAGTTCTCTCTTCACCACAGTCTCGCCAGTAAATGTCATTCTTTGTTTTTGTTTTTGTTTTTGTTTTTTTGATCATAGTCACTCTGACTGGGGTTAAGTGGATATCTCCTTATAGTTTTGATTTGCATTGTCTGAGTGATAATGAATGTTGAGCACTTTTTCATATGCATTGTGGTCATTTGTATGACCAATGACCAAAACAGAGTTGTCTGTTCAGTACATTTGCCCACTTTTAAATTGGATACTAGATTTTTAAAGATGAGCTACCTTAGTTTCCTGCATATTCTGGTTATCAATCCCTTGTCTGAGATACAGTTTGTAAATTTTTCTGCCATACTGAGGATTTTCTCTTCACTCTAATTGTTATTTCCTTTGCTGTGCAAAAGCTTTTTAGTTTGATGTAATCCCACTTGTCTATATTTGGAATTATTGCCTGTCCTTAAGGGTCTTATTTAAGAAATCTTTGCTTGGGAACCAGCAGTTAGCGTAATGGCTATGTCGCTGGACTCCCACATAGTTGACCGCAGTTCACGTCCCAGACCCGGTGGCTTAAAACTCACACCGGGCGCGTGTGCATGCGTGCCCAAGATCCTGAGAGGAGAATGGAGGAGAAGGGATTGCGGCGTGACCATCCCCCCTGGGGGGTCTCTATGTCTCTCTCTCTGTCTGTCTGGCGAGCGCACGCACCCTATAGCAAAAACCTCTCCAAAAAAAGAAAAAAAAGAAATCTTTGCTTACTTCACTGTCTTCAAGAGTTTTCCGTAACAAATAATGGTGGATAGTTTAAAAGAAAATGAGAATCAAGCAATCAAAAAAAAAGATGCCACACACCATGTATCTTTTTAATACACTGAAGCTGCTTATTCAGAGAAGCCATTTTCAATCTTTCTTCAACTTAATTTTTTATCAGAATATCTGAAATATAATTTTAAGACAATTCCTAGTACTTTAATAACTATACAATTAAGAAGTGCTACCAATATTCCCAGCTTAATTATAACTATTTCTCATAGATTTTATTCCAGCCCTTATTTCAAGTGAAGCCTTCTCTATATTTATCCTTGATCATATACTTTTATTGTATTTAGAGTTGCAACACATGAAGAGGGATCTATAGATACAAGAAAATGCAAATTGAAATTGCACTGAGATGCCTCTGTATACCTATTAAAATGGCTAATATTAAAAAGACTGACATAGAAAGTGTTGATGAAGATGACAAGGAAGACAGGAGGAAGAAATGACAAAGGTATAAAGAAACTGCTAGAGTCACGGAAATGTTCATTATTTAGTTTTGGTGATAGTTTCATGGGCATAAATGTATATAAAAATATCAAATTGCATATTTTATGTGCAATTTAATATAACTCAACAAAGCTGTTGAAAATAATTAAATATTTTAAAATGTATGCTATTATCAAGCAATAAAATCTATTGATTCTAATTTTGACACAATGAGTCCATAATATTTGGTATAATGATAAAATATTTAATGGTATACATAAAATACCTGTTGCATGTAAAATATTGTTATTTGTAGAAAAATAAATCATACTTCAAATGCATTTTTTAAAAATTTCACCCAAATATGATATGGAAGAAACATTAACAAACAGTACTTTTTAAGTTTGTGCATTTCTGACACTTTAGCAAACAGTACTTTTTAAGTTTGTGCATTTCTGTGAGCAAGAAAGAATGAGAAAGAGACACACCACATGCCTAACAGGGTCAAAACTCTGATCTATACCTGTCGTCAGCCAGGCCTGGATTACTGGCACACATATGCCTGAAATACTCAGAAAGGTCTCTGGATATGAAACTAGAACCTTTCAGTGTGGATCAAAGAGTCCTGTGTTTTATAACTGTGCCACTGTCCAGCCCTTAAAGGTAGTGGTTTTTCTTTTTGTTTGTTTTGTTTTTGTTCTGTTTTGTTTTGTTTGTTTGTTTGTTTTTGCTGGTGGGTACATCCAGCCTGAAAGTATTGTTACAATTGTTGCAGACAATTCTAAAGGCTCATCTAGCTCAGTTGTAGATCATGGGACTCTCAATCTCTGCGTTGTTGAAAATAATTAAATATTTTCAAATACATGCCATTATTAACCAAAAAAAATCTATCGAAAATTAGCTCATTGATTCAGCATTGTGGTTTGGGTCTCAAAGTGAGTGCCAGAAACTGCAGGGGAAATAAGTAATGCCTTTCCTTACCTACTCTAAGGTTCATGGCTGAGACTCCTATAACAAAAGACAGATTAACACGAGAAAAATCTATAAATTGTATGAGACATGGGAGCTTCAGACATAAAGACTCAAAGACCTAGGGAGAACTATTTTTAATGAACATTCTTGCAGAAAGATGATTGGAGTACAAATGGGTGTGATTTCATGGTAATAAACTAGAGGGAACTTAGCAAGACCTCTTTGTTAATATTGTTCTTGGTGTCTCTGTTTGAGATTTCTTACCTCTGGGTAAAAGGCAGAACACCTGTCACAGACTCTTCAAGGGAGAAAGAAGGAAGACTAGAGTGACCTTCCTAGGTTATGTGACCTGCTTCAGGGAAGGAAGGGTTAGGGTAAGTCAAGAGAGGCCTTCCTGAATTTGCTGTCTTCTCACCTATCAAGGTGTCATATTTGGGGGTGATATTTCTGAGCCCAGATATGGCATATATGCTTTAAGTTATTTCTTCTACAAGGAATCATGAAAAAAAAAAAAAAACGAGATTAGATAAAGCAACCATTTATAAAAAGGTAATTAAGAAGCTTGATTCTTAATTAATATAGTAAGGAAAACTCTCCTTGACAAACTTTAGTTAGATTTCCAATCTTACCTCAGCCTTTGGGCTTCCATGTTTCTTTATATGATGCAATGTTAGCACGAATCCTCTTAGGTTTGTTTAACCACTATGTTCCCCTCTCCTGATGGTTTCTCTTGGTAATATTTCATCTATGGGCACCACCCCCCTTGTTTTTGGTTTTAAATTCCCAACTACTCACACTGCATTTGGGATTGAGCCTAATTCTATTCTTAGGTATCTTTCC